TGAATTGAATCATGAAATGATGAATTGAATCATGAAATGACAAATGTTGGAATATTGACACAAATCCCCTCCCATACGAATGCACCGGCAAATTAGGGAGTATAAAGAAGGTATATGAGCATGAAAAGTAAATAGAAACGCTAATTGTATTTTCATACATTTTATTTTGTACAAATAACACACAAATATACTACTTGCTGGTGCTCGAAATTCGTGACGTAGACAGTTTAAACATAGCTACAGTCAATAATTTGCTTCTATACTATTAGTATAGATATCTACGAATCATTTGAGCTATCTCTTGAATAAATTGGATGAGGATTATTGAAATTATAGCCAAAATCTGAAGAGTGGGGTAACGCAATAACCGTAAACCCGACAGGGGGCGCTGCACGCCACCAGGTGGCGCTGTTTAATTGCCACTATATCAGAAAATCTCCAGGACCTCATGTAGTATGCGTGGGCAGTTTCATAATTCTACCCAAAAATGCACAATCCATGTGCTTATCCGCTGCACTAATTAGGATATATTTATATTTCGGAAGCGGAATGAAGCAGTGCAGCCTTTATCTTGCTTATTTATTACTATTTATTTAATAACACATAGCTCGGTCTGGGGGGTGAGGGGAATCGCACGATGTTTTTGGCAAACGTTCACATTGACCTGAAAACGGGGTTTATTTAACTCTCTGAAAACTCTATCGCGGGTAGTTGATCTATTTTCGCGCCTATCTATCTGTGTTACTATCGGTTTGCACAGTCTAGCAACCGCCTGCAGCGCGCACCCCGGGCTCTCTCTCTTCCTCTGAGTTCTTCTTCCGGCCAAACATTGCGCCTGCTCCGATCGTCTTTGTGGTGCGAGCCAGGAAGTGTCGCGTGCGTGGGCCGGTGGGGGGCGAGGAGGGGGAGGGGGGCCTATCTACACACGAGGTCGCTTACAATCAGTCGTTGTGTCGTCAGCGTCGTGCCTCGTGTGCACGCGCCTCTGCGGTGCGGAGTGGAGCCACCGACGAAGTCACATAGAGGGTACGATGTATGTAGTATGGGTGTCTCCTTATGCAATGTATGTAGTATGGGTGTCTCCTAATGCGATGTATGTACTGTAGTATGAGTGTCTTATGCGATGTATGCAGTATGGGTGTCTTATGCGATGTATGTAGTATGGGTGTCTTATGCGATGTATGTAGTATGGGTGTCTTATGCGATGTATGTAGTATGGATGTCTTATGGGATGTATGTAGTATGGATGTCTTATGCGATGTATGTAGTATGGGGACATCCATACTACATACATCGCATAAGACATCCATACTACATACATCGCATAAGACATTATGCGATGTATGTAGTATGGATGTCTTATGGGATGTATGTAGTATGGATGTCTTATGCGATGTATGTAGTATGGATGTCCTATGCGATGTATGTAGTATGGATGTCTTATGCGATGTATGTAGTATGGATGTCTTATGGGATGTATGTAGTATGGATGTCTTATGCGATGTATGTAGTATGGATGTCTTATGCGATGTATGTAGTATGGGTGTCTTAT